AGTTGACCCAATACAACTAAATAGAAGAAATCACTATAACTATTTCGGCCGGCTCTCTCGTATAGAACCACAACAATCGCTAGGGCAGGATCTGAACAGTTGACTACATTGAAGTCATGTCAATTGTTTGCTTGACTACATACTTACCAACGCTAATTAAGAGATGTGGCGTAGAAGACTAAAATTTATGTCAAGCATCCTTAATAGAAGACAAATTTGTAGCCTAATGTGTTAGCTAACCATATAATGTAGAATCACCTAAATTGGAGTTATAAATTGAGAGATATGACCAAAATAATATAAACTGGGCAGGCTGGAAACCAACAGCAGGGCAGACTGAAAGTTGCTACTTGAGCTCAATATGTGACTACCTTGCCAACCTAATTAAGAGATGTGATAGAAGAAAACTTTGTACCTTAAGATGTTAGCTAACCATAGAATTTAGAATAATCTAAATTGGACGTATACAGAAAGAGTTATGCTAGGATTTGTGAAACATGTACAGGCTGTCTGGCAGATTTCAAGAACACATTAGAAATGATGTTGGCACAATTTAGAATAATGATGTCTTGAAATTGCATTATATAATCTACTTCTCACCCTCGAAAATTAATATGATTTCTACCTTTCTAGTGAATCCTTAATTTTCAAACATAAGAATTTTCTCTTTAATGCTCAGAATGGTTATATTTGTTACATAATATTTGTAGAATTGCATCGCTGGGTGCAAACTAGCTAGAGCTATTCCATGGCAAGTATACTTTTATACAATTATCCAATGGTATTGCAATTTTCGTGCATTACGATATTTTCTAAATAATTCTTGTATTATCCACAATACTACAATATATGCTCCATTAAGTTTAAGGCATAGGAAACCTACAGTAGAATAGACATTATGTCGGACCACGTAGATAAGACTATGTCGCGACATAGGATAGCAGATCTGCGCTCCATACAGTGTGGTACTTCGGCTACAGGCCGTTGAGTGGATATCGGGTCATAGCAGCCCAGCCATATAGTATTCATCCAGTTTTATACAGTTCTTTTTATCACTTACGTTTCACTGTAACCTTATGGAGCCATACAGTTATGGATATTAGTATTTATAAATTATATGATGTTTAATAAAAGTTGTATAATTCATACAACATAATGAACAGCAGGTAAGATCATGAAAGTGTAATGATATGTGTGATTACATGTTTATTTTATTTTTTTATTTTTGGTTCTTATTAAGTTGAGATATCCACTGAGCTTTATTTGCTCTGGAAGAATATCCATCTGTGAGCTATGTCATTGCTCACGAGTTATTTAGTTTAATATCCTCAGTAAATAGGTGGTTTCCGAGACTGGACCGTAGAGATCAGCTTTATTCAATACTCTTTGACTTTCTTTATTAGAATCTACAGATATATAATCTATCGCGCTCTGGAAGATCTTCTATGGTCTTCTAGTTCCGGATAGTGCTATTCGGATTCTGGATATTTTTGAACTTCTATATTCTATCCTCCTCCTATCAATGGCAATGTATCTAGAGGCACCACCAGTTTGAGCCCCAATATTACAATTTTTGTATAAAAACTTTAAAAGCTATCATTGTACTGTAAAGAAATATTAGAGTAACATTTATCTAGTATTTTCCCTAATGTAAAAAGCCAACAGATCAATTTCTTTGACATTTATATATCTGCATTTTACAAAAACAATGATATGTGTGTAGCATGAAAGGACATAGGTTCAAACCATGAATTGTCGAACATTCTTCAGCTACGTGTTCATTTGATAGGTTAAGGGGTGGACCGGAAGCGGATGTTACATAATGCACTGATAAAAAATACGCATTATACAATTACAGCCAAGAATGTGATTACATGATATTAGCATGAAAGGACATAGGTTCAACCAGATTGTAGCATCTCAGCTCGGTTCATTTGAGTTAACGGGTGGACCGGGAAGCGATGTTACATAATGCACTGGATAAAAAATACTATCATTACAGCCAAAATGATTACCATTATTAATGCATATCATCGTCTCATTTCTTTTCTTTTACTTATCAGTAAAAAAAAATTATTATTGTTTTTCATTATAGCTGTATATAGATATTGATTTGGGATTGAGGGCAAGAGTTGGAGATTGAGTGATAACTTGAGTTTCTTTTTGAGCACGTATCATAGTTTTAAGAGTCTGTATTTATAAACTAGAGACTAAATGATTAGTTATAAGGATTGCATTAAACTTTACTTTGAGACCACTTCATAACATAAAAATAGAATTAAGTACATAAGAAATAATATTGCAAGTAGTTTATACGGCAAAGTATAATACAAATTAACCAATTATATTTATTGTTATCTAAACAAAAACTTATGCTTTAATATTATATAGATAAAAAATTAAAAGAGTACAAAAAATGAAAATATAATGAGTATTGTCAACGTGTAACGCACGTCATAAAAAAGACTCTATATATATATGTGTGTGCACGCGCGCGTGTGTTAGCAGCTAGAATTTATTTATTTTTAATAAATGTAAAACAAAATGTTAGTTAAGCTAGAAAAATAAATCAATAAAAAGACATCAATGTCAACTACTTGCTTGAATATATAATATCACCCTTCAATTTGAATTGTGGATCAACTAAAATTTATTTGAATTGTGGATCAGTGCTGAACAATTCATATTTTATGGTAGTCAATTATTTTTTTTAATTTATTAAATTTAGTCAATTCTTTATTCTTTTTTAAAGATTATTTAGTCTTTTTTTATTCATATCTTAAAAAAAATATATTTAATACTATTATATACAAAAAGAATCCGATTTCCGGTTCAGTGAAACTATTTTTAACACATATTATATAAAACTTCCACATGCATACAAGATATTAAAAATATATTTAACAATATTATATAAAACTATTATATATAAAAAAATAGTCATTTCAAAATCATAAATTTTTATTTGACTATATAAATAAATAAAATTAAATAGAATATTTTATTTTCTAACATCATTATTATTATTATTATTATTATATATTTAACTATTTATATTATTAAAAAATGAGAGTTTTCATTTCAAATATCATAAATTTTATTGGACTATATAATAAATTAAACATAATATAGGTAATATTTTATTTTTTACATCATTATTATGAGTTTTTTTCCATTGCATCTCAGTATGAATTTTATCGCAAAATCATGTTATTATTCATAATTACAATCATAAAATTTTTAACTATATTTTGTTAAAGATTTTAAATTATAAACATGTGCAATCTATGAAAGATTAATAATCTACAAATCATTTATTATTAAAGACTTGAGATAAAGAAAATTGCAGACTATACTCTGAATATCTAAAGCATTAATATTTATTAAATTAATCGTACGATTTCCATAGCCCACAAGATAAATATAATTTTATCGAGTATTATATATTTTTCAAAAATGGTTTATTATCATAATTACAATTCATAAAATTTTTAACTATATTTGTTAAATTAAATTTAAACATTGCAAATTATAAAGTTATTTATCTACAAATCAATTTAATATAAATTGAGATAAAGAAATTCTAATTAAATATTAAAAATTAATATTTATTAAATTATCTACACATAGCACAAATATATAATTATAGAACCAAAAAGGATTGCATCTTTTAATTGTCTATTAGTTGTAATTGATTTACATAAATAATTATCCCAATCAGTATATAATAAATGATTAATTATTATAAATATATTTATCATCATTTGAAATTGTTAATAATAAAAACTATTAATAAAAATTTAATTAAACAAAGGACTAAATGTTTTGATTTCAATTCAAGTCATTTAAAATTAATTTAAATAAATATTTTGCACAATAAACCACTTAGTAAATGTGATGAATGATATAATATATATAACAACATTTTAAATATAGTTTTTAAATAACTATAGTCAGAATATATTTTTCACAATGAGAGTTTCATAATACATTTTATTTTATTGTAAATTTTTAAATTGCAATTCACTAAATAGTTTTAAAGTTGAAACATTTATGATATGGTTTAGATTAGTTGAATTTTAACTGTGATTTGAATAATATAAAAAAAAAAAATTCAAATATAGCTTTGAAACAAATATAGTTGGAAAAAAATTATCACAATTAGTGTTTTATACTAAAAATGCATCTAACATTGTTTTAAATGTACTTTAACGAGAAAGAAAAAAAAAGAAAAAAAATACATATTCTAGACAAATAGAGCAATAAATTGGAATACAATTACACAATATGTTACAATAATAAGAAATCATTAATAATATTATAATTGATAAAATTTAAAATTAATAAAAAAATTATATATTAAAACCATGCATAGAATGGGTATAACGCTAGTGATTATTATTTCTTACTATATTCTTGATTATTGTGTCTTAGCATTTATGTTTGTATTTATTTACAAATTAAAGCATTTTGGAATCCTATCTAGCATAATTTAATTTTTCTAATCCTATGTGACAATAAGTAGCAATTTCACCACGTGGCAATACATAGCAATTTGACATAGCACTTTCTACAGAAAAGATGTCTGCTTTTTATATATTGATTAGCTTCATTTTCCTCCTGCTGGCCGAATAGCCGTTTGTATTTCAAGGCCAACGCATCATCAAAATATTAAAGACAGAAACGTGCCGACATGATTTCAGTTATAATATCTACCATTCTACAGGGCATGGTACGATAGTGGCGGTCTTCTCCAAGTTTAAAGTTTCCATATGCATACAACAAACAGTCTAAGAGACTTTATAGCGGAGACATGCTTCCACGTTCAAAGGGAATTATGTATCTGTCAAACAATTTAATAACCAACTAATATAGACAAAATAACTCCCAGTCTCCTCCATCTACCTTTCAACTTCAAGGTATTTCATCTTTTAATTCTCATATCACCTTTTCCTGTGGTTTAGATTACCGTATTTGTGATTTTTTTAGTGGGTAGTTACTCACTTGTCCTTATTTGACTTGTTTCCCTCTTTGTTGAGGAACTGGTATTGGGATTACTGATCTGAAATTCTAAAAGAAAGTAACAGTGGTGAAACTAATTCCTTGTGGTTATTATTGTTATTATTTTCATGTATAGGTATTTCTAGGAAGAGAAAGAGGGAGAGACATTCCTTTTCTTGCTGAATCAACAATTTCATAACCATGGAGGAATCTTCAAATGGGAAAATTGAGGAGACCCAGAAAGTGGAGGCAGAGGAAGAAGGTAACATAGCAGCGATCGAAGATGTTGAATCTGTGAGAGAAATTATTGTTCATGGGATTTCTGAGTGTCTGACAGAATTTTCTGAGGGAAATGATTTAAGTTCTGGTAATAACATAAGTCCAGAGGAAGAGGAAGAAGTAGTAGAGAAGAGTCCTCGAGGGATATTGGAAGAGGTAGAGAAAGAGGTTAATAACTCAACAGATGAGTCAGTCGAGCTTAATGTTCCTTTGCCGCAAGAACTGTCTACTCCTGTAGAATCATCAATTGAGGAATCAAGGGACTCAGATGTTGCTGAAGTAGAACCAAAAGAAACTGAAGAGAAAATCTCCTCTTCTTCAAATGAGAGCAATGTAGCAGATGGTGAATTTAATGGAATAAAGGAAACAGAAATTCCAGCTTCTGATGATAAAGATAGTTTGTCTGCAATCTTTACATATATTATGTCCAAAGAAGTTGAGGAGGAAGTGTTGCCGTCTTTGGATGATAATGGCAGGGTTTCTTCAGGTTTAACAGTTGTGGTGTCAAGAGGGATTGAAGAAGTAAACGTATCAGCTTTGGAGGGGAATAATGGAGAGCCCTATAGCATTGTTGATAAGGAATCTGCAGAAAATGATTCGTTGAATCCATCAACAAATGCTACTATTGTCTCAAGCAGTGATGCTTTTCCTGAGAGCACAGGAAATCCTGTCAGTAACTTTCTTTGAGATCTAATGGTCGAAATTCCTTTATTTTGTGCAAGTTCGTCCCTGCCCCCACAATTTTTGTCGGAACTTTTACTGAAAGGATATTGCTTTTTTGTTTTGACCTTGGTTTGCAGCAAGTCATATCTCTAGGTCAGCGCACAGTGCAACCTACGTCCTGGAAGAGTTGCTGTGGCCTTTTTGAAGTTCTCCGACGCTCAGATAGGTAACACAAGGTAAGCCATAATTATTTTCTGCACAAGGAACTGTGGGAATTCTGAAATTAGTTCAAAATGTTTCTTTTAAATTTTAGTCTGCGTTTGCTTCAATTGATTGGAAATTAGGTATGATCAGCGGCAATTGTATTGCTCGGCAATAATTAGAAGAATATTCTAGTTTTTTAATTGTTGCATTGAGTTTTGAATCTGCAAAACACACATCATTGATATCTTTTAACACTTGAATACAAAAGAGTTTACTTAATCTAGGCACAAAGCGATGGTTGTTGGTCACCATACTCTGCTTTTCTAATTTTACAAGAAATCTTAATTTTCACCTAACCCAACTGACAGACTTGCTGCAGCAACCTCTGTAGCAAAAAATCCAAACACAAATTTCCCTCCAAAAACTAATAACTAGAATGGTTGAAACAGATTCTCAATCTTCAACTGAAAAAGGTTAGGTGAGGGCGATTGAGATTTAACTGCATACGCTTGACTATCCAATCTAGTCTTTTATAGGTTTTGAGATTTCTCTAGTTTTGTAAACTCATCAACCGAGTAATAGACATTTACCATGTGAAAATTTCTAGTCAAGCAAAAAGGCCAAGAAGAATCTTTCACTCTTTAACTTTTTGATTATTGAAATTTGTGTTAGTAGATTCCTTAATTAGCACTATAGCATTAGATGAGCTTTGACATCCTGCTGCTTCTGTAATCTTAAATGAACTTTGCTGTCGCAGAAATTCATAGGCTGATAGTTACTGAGTAATCTTCATAATAATATTATTCACTCAAGTTGCTCCAAATTTACCCATATGTATTCCTCACTCAATTTTATTAAGTTTCATCAAAGACCAACTGAGAAACCATATGCATATGTTGAGGCAACTCGTACATTCTACCTAGCCACGCGCTCAATGATTGGATGCGGGAGATGTAGTTGTTAATAAATTGACTGTATAGCATTCTTGGATATGAGTTTTAGATACCCATACCGATTTTCCATGCTTATGTTTATTTGAGATATGAAAACAATGGGACAGGTAGATAAAAGACTAGCAGCAATAAACCAATAACATCAATGATAGAATTGAGTGAACATGTAAAATTAAAACTGGGAGGTTGAGGGGAACTAACCAAAATAACATTTTCTACAATGCTAGGAAATGTAGGATATGGGAGGGGCATAAATGATATGCAAAAAACACTTGAAGGAACAATAGAAAACATGGTTGAAAGTAGGCTTTTCTACATCCTTAGTTTAGCTTAAGTTGATTGCCATTCACACCAATTGGTAAATAAATACATTGGAAACTTCTAGCAACTAGAACCGCATATGAAAGGTGCTGCATATCCAAAGTTAACTATGATTGGAATTTGGGAAGATATTTGGCATGAATTGGCTTTTCAGAAGGCACAGCTTTAGCAGTTCTTCCTGGATTAGGATGTCTAGGAGCTGAGTAGATTATAAAAGTAAATGGCCATTATAGATAGGTATAGTTCGTCATGATTTCTGATGATTTATGTTGCGAAAGTAGCAGTTGCATTGGAGTTTCTCCTTGATGTTGTTCTTGATATTCTGTTTGGTCAGAGAAATCTTTCAGAAAAGGATTTCTTTTGGTAAAGGTTTTCGACCAAATTATCCCCAAACTATAAATAAAATATGTTGGTTGGTTTGGTTGGAAGCTTTTCGAGAAAGATTCACTTTTAGGGAATTCTAGAACAATGCACGGTCCTTTTCTATATGACTTGCTTTTGGTTTTCTCATATAGTCTTCTATTTAAGATTCGATCCCAACATTTATTTCTGTTTCCTACCTGATATACAGGTGTCTTGTGACGTTCAAAATGTTACTGAGCTACTGTGAAGCTAGCAAAGTGTTCAATTTTCCCTGTATTACAAGGTAGAAGAAGAAGAAGATTATCTGCGTGGTGTGTTTTTTGTGGTCTCTTGTTGGATTGTTTGCTTCCACTGAACTTTTTTTTTTTTCGGTTGACTGCGTTTAGCGGATGCTTACTTGTATTAAAACGACCAAAATCAAGAAAAATTACTTTCTTTATGTATATATTTAATACTATTATTTATTCGATTAAAACGAGTATGATTACATCTTAAAAGAGGTTTGGCTTATCACATTTCTATTAAATCTATGACTCATTCTCTAATCCTGACCTTGGACGCATTCTGTCAATGCTGTTATAAGTTCCTGGGATTCAACAGTCATTTTGTTATGAACAGAACAAAAGGATTGATAAAAAAGCAGCAGCCATAAAGTCCAATTTGCCCCCATCAACTTGTTATTCAGCAGAAATAGTAATAATAATAAAAACTGTAAAATCAGCATTTTGGTTCAATTTACCTTCTCAACTTGTAATTCATGCACAATTTATTCAATAAACCTTTCAATTTTCTCAAATTCTCCTGCAATTTACTCAAATTCTTGCAAGATTTTGGGTTCTTTTTTTTGTTTTAACTAATTGTCTTCCACTATTTCGAGTGCGGATGTTATATAATGTGTAAAAATAAAAATGTTATTTTTGTTATAATGAATAATTATTTTCAAGAATTCAAATATTCAATAAATTATACTTACTAATATCCAAAAAAAAATAAAAAATAATTCTTTCTCAGATTCTTGCAAAAAGATCAATATATTAACATATGGATACATAAATCAAGTTTATAATTAAGCTTAAAATCTTTAATTTCTAAAAATATTTTAATAGATTTTAAAATAGTCTTTATAAATATTATTTATTTGAATTCATTTTGAATAAATATCTAAAATCCAAGCATAATTCAATAAACATTAAAAATTAAAAAAAAATTCATCAAAGTTTGCCTTGATTTGGAATAGATCGAGTAGTATAGCCATCTTCTTTCACAGAACAAAACATAAACATCAATTCTGTCATAAAATATTTCTCTATTACACATAATAAGAAAAGAAAACGAATTTTATTCTAATAGTTATAGAATAATTTATAAATTACAAAATCATACTATAATTGATAAAAAAAAAAAAATTGAATACACTCTGTAATTCCATCGTCATTCCATATTGATCAAACTCACATCAATAAAATATCATAAAATAGTGTTATATTGTTTGCAAAGAATTTTTTTTTTCTTGAAAGTATGATTTGATTTTATTTATGATTTCATTTATATTGAAATAAGCATCAATACAAATTCTGTAACTGTGGAGAAAAGAAAATAAAGAGAATAAATATTAATGATATTGTTAATGATTTGAAAAAGAAAGTGAAAAGTTTTTAAAATATTAATGATGTTATTAGTTTTATTAATTATTTAAAAACTGAAGATAGTATTAATGATATTAATTAATTTGTCTATTAATTATAATAAAAATAATTTTTAAAAATATAAAAATTATTTCTAACTCAATAGAGTAATACTTTGCCACATAAGCATTTTGACACTCTAAAATTATGCCACGTAAATTTTTAGGCTCATGTATTTATATATTTATATAGATTTTTCAATTACAAATTTATAATGTAACTAGTTGGAAAATTATACTTCGCGCGTGGATATTTAAATATTATTTTGCTAACATTATTGTACTATTATGAATTATCGAACTATTTAAGAAGAACAATTAAAATCCTATTTCAATAATTAATAATAGTAATTAAAATGATTTGCAATAAGAAAAATTATAGTATTGTTTACAATAATATAACATTATAAATTCATAATATTGCAATCAAGTTTCATTATCAAAATAATCCCATAGTGAAGAAATTAATTACGTGTTGAAACTCGACAAAAGAATTTGGAGAGTTCCACTCTTTAATATGTTTAGGTATTTAGAAGTGATGTTAAATAATAACAAAGCAAAAATTTCAAATAGAATTCTATAGAAACAAGTCATTAAATATGAGAGCACCTAACCATGTAATCATGCAAAGCAAAAAAAGGTAAAATTTAAACTGACATAATTTTGATAATTAAAAAAAAGATACTAAAATGTAATATATCATTTGGTTGCGTTGAGGGTCTCGGGTGAAGATTTCGTTGTTCTGCAAACTATGGAATAGTTCAAATAATGCACTGTATGGCGAGATGAGGTGCAAGATTTCTTGGGCTCTGGCTCAGTCTATGGAATAAAACATGAATATAAAAATGCATGAAAGCAAAAGTCGAATGCCAGAGTGGGCAAATTCTGATTTCTCAATCACATGGGACAATGTGTGATTATTTGGAATCTGTGTCTTTTTTGAATTAAGCACTATCAATAGTTCGCCCGTGACTCTTAGCCTAGATGGTTAAGGTGAGGTGATGTCCCAATATTTAATGTAATTTGTAATATATTCTCTTTATGGGTTGAGGCCTTGGGGGGTTGGACTGCCCTAATAGGCTTTAATGCATGCCTTCCCCAGTCTTTTAATTGTTATTTGTGATATCCCCTTATGGATTACGCTGCCCTTAATGACTTTAATGTAATTTATTACATTTGAAATTGTCAATTGTTTAAGTTTTCTTGAATTGCAGCACTGCTTATGAAAACTTGATTGAATTCATCTTATTGAATAAAAAGATAGAGAGAATTACAAGGAATTGAGAAAACAACAGATACAAGAAAAGAACTGAAAAACAGAGCGAGATTACGGTTTTGAAAAGAATAAAAGAAACTCTCAAAACTACTGTACACAAGATACTTATATAGTTATTTATATACCTTCCATGGACTCCACTGACACATCAAATTTAGCTCTTAAGATCTGTTACAACTCAACTTTCTCTCTCTTTATTTTATGTAACAAACTGGCAACTCCTCAACAGTTTTTCGTTATGAGTAAGAAGAAGATATACAGCATGTGTTTTGCCACCTGTCTTCATTAACCGTGCGACGTCGTTTTTCCCTTCTTTTAATCTCATTATTTCTTTTATAATGAAACGACATCATTGGCTGATACTGACCGTTATTAACAACGGCTACCTGCTTCAAATCATCAGCATCTCCAGCATCACCAAAATCTTTGTCATTCTTCACATCCTCTGTTACCCCCCCCCCCCCCCCCCCCCCCCGAAGCTAGGCCATGGATGTTTAGACATTGCCCAGTTTGGACATGTGAGAAACTTAAGCAGAGCCCCCCCCCCCCCCGCAAGCTAGGCCATGGATGTTAGACATGCCCAGTTTGGACATGAGAAACTTAAAGCGAGAAGGGGAAAGAGATTTGGTATACAAATCAGCAAGCTGCAGCTCTGTAGAAATAGGCATAAGATGAACAAGGCCAGAATTAACTTTTTCTTGAATAAAATGGTAATCTATCTCTATATGCTTCGACCGCTCATGAAAGGCAGGGTTAGCTGTGAGATAAATTGCAAATTGATTATCACAAAAGATACTGATGGGTGCAGATAAATCATGATCAAGATCTGACAACATATAGCTCAGCCGTTGAAGCTCACAGGTTGTGATAGCAAGAGCTTGATACTCTGCTTCTGAAGAGGATATGGACACAGTCACCTGCTCCTTCGATCTCCAGCTGATCAAGGAATCTCCCGGGTAAATCGTATAACCTGTTATAGATCGCCTTGTGTCAGGGCAACCGGCCTAATCAGAGTCACTAAAGGTAGTTAGCTTTGGTGCTGAACTAGCCTTATAGAATAAACCATTACCATGACTAGATTTAACATATCTGAGAACCTTAAGCAATGCCTGATAATGAGATGTTCTTGGTGTAGATAGAAATTGACTCAAGGTATTGACAGCATAAGAGATATCTGGCCTTGTGATAGTGAGATATAATAGTTGCCCCACTAGTTTTCTATAACTTGTTACATCAGTCAACTATAGAACCATCTGACTTCAATTTTGTTTTATACACCCATTTACAGCCAATAGGTACCCTGTTTGGTGGAAGAGGAACCACGGTCCATGTATTATTTAAAGCCAAAGCTTCAAGCTCCTTATCCATAGCTTCCCTCCATAAAAGATGCTTAACAGCTTGTTTATAGGTTTTTGGTTCTTGAAGACAAGAAACATTTAAAATAAAATGTTTGTAGGAAGGAGACAACTGAGAATATGTAAGCACTTGGGAAATAGAATGCTATGTAAAATCAATAGGTGTAGTTTGATTATGATATGCCAAATTACAATGGTAATCCTGCAACTATTGAGGAGCCCTCTTTATCCTTGTGGATCTTCTTGAGCCATCATTTTGTATAGGAGCATCAACTACATCTGCTGCAGGTGACATAGGAATAAAGTCTGCATCTACATATGTGTCATTAAGTTGAGGCAATAGTGGTTGAAGCTGTTTTTCTGAATAAGGAAAAATAGTTTCATAGAATATGACATTCCTTGAAACCAGCAATCCTCTAGTATGCAAATTCAGCATTAAATACCCTTTGGTACCCTCTTTGTAGCCTAAAAACACACACTTTTGAGCTCTTGGCTCTAACTTAGTTCTCCCAGCCTGTAATGTATTTGCATAACATAAGCTCCCGAACATCAGGAATCTCCTATGTATCAAAGGGATGTACAGATGTTGGAATCTCTTGAGGCCTTTTTATTGTTTGATCGGTAGTCGAGCTAATTGAAGTTGAACTAAACGGCTCAGCCTGAATAAGAACCGTGGAAGGAGTGGTAGTAGAAGCGGGGGGTCCACTGGGTCTTCTTGGACGAGCCCTCCCCCTCTGCTTACTTCTTCATCACGTATGCTATTTTTGAAATATTGAACCAACCTAGGAGCCATCCCTACACAAATAAAATAGAAAAATTAAAAAGTTTTAGTAAAATTAACTAAGAGCAAGAAAACATAACAGGCCTACTAGAAGGAGATGGGTTCAGTCTCATGGGTCTACTGGGAGAGTAAATAGGATATCCCTGAGCAATCACTTGCTTCAGGTCCATTGATCCCTAGCCTGAGCCTTGATAAGTCCAACACATCACTCATCCTAGAAGTAGACACCCTTGGCAAATGGCTGGTAGGAGTTTCGACCATCTGTTCAGGATACCAAATCCCCCAGGATGCCGCACAATAAAGTATTTTTGCTTCCAATTCTTTAGAGCAGAAATCTTGGATTTCTTGCTGAGCACATTATACTTTGGCCTTGCCTGGAGGAAATAATGTTTTTTGTTAGA